AAAATATTATATGGAATTGAACGAAAATGAAAATTTGCTTGATAATTCAACTACGCTTGTTGGAGAACAATAAAAACACTACACTCAACAAGCCACCAATAAAACTCAACTGCCTAACCTATAACCAAAGTCTCCTTTTAATTTGTTTTTTAAAAAAAAGCGCTTGACAAACTTGCCCCGCATGCCGAAGTTGCCCCGATCTCCCCTACAGTTGAAACTCCCATCAGACAATTTTGATATGTATCATATATACATAAATTTGTAGATAATGATATTTATTTCCAAAGTGGTTCACAGAGTCCAATGATCCACAACTGAAATTCGAGAGTTCGGTGAATTTTTTAAAAACATTTTATAAGTTAAGCAAGTAATAAATTTGATTCAATAGTTTATAATTATTTTTTAAGTGCACAATTATTTATTTGAGTTGGCAATACACCGGAACACAGTAGTTGCCATTTGCTCTTATCAGGCATGACATTTCATTGAATGATTAAATTAAAATACATATATAATTGTATATTAATTAGCTATATGTTTTATTTTTATCATTCATTAAAATATTAATAATAAATAAAATATTAGAGATTTGTTCCTTCTGTCAACTCGTATGACGCCATATAAACATGCTAAAGTTATTTTAGGTTTTTTAAACAATGAAGACAGATTTATCGGTAACGGGATAAATACAAATCATAATGTAATTTTTCAACAAGGTAATCGGAACCATAAAAACGGTAAAGCTGAACTGCAAAATCGCTAAATANTATTAAAACGCAATCAAAAACGCAAAAACCCGCATCTAAAATAGTATAATAGAAGGCAAGTTTTCACAGTAAGCCTTAATCCTGTCCCTCTCCCCCGCGGGGGGAATATCGAAAAATCCCTTCTTAGTGTACATTCTCTTGACGTACTCTATAAAAACGCAATCAAAAACGGAAAAAACCGCATCTAAAATAGTATAAATAGAAGCAGAGTTCTTTAAGGTAACCTTTTCCGTAAGGCTTACCGTAAAAAACTGTCCATCGCCCACGTTTAACGGAATAATATACAGCCTATGTCCACCCTGAAGTTCCATTCTAAATATTGGTGAAAGAATTTTTGAAATCGGATGAGTAGTTTCGGAGATTACCTGCTGCATACAAACTAACATACATACATACAAACATTACCTCTTTATAGTATTAGTATAGATTAAAACAATTTTCATCGATTTATATTATGAACTATTGCTCAAAGTTTAAATTTGTCTATATTTTTGGGACATTACAAAACAAGTATTTTGTGTTTAACACTTTATGTTACTGTCCTATATTGTAAAATCGATTATATAACATATATTGTATTGTGCTATGAATAAACAATAGTAATCACTAGCATTGTTAATTCATTCATGAAAAGATTGCCACTATACGTATAAAGGGAAGATTTTTTAACATCACAATGATTCATACACCTACGGAGGAGAAGAGTGAAGAGGTAAAGGATGAATTTTATTGTCAGAGGAAGCTCTAGAGACAGTACCAAAACATAGTATAAAACTAATGCCTGGGGATTGGAATGCTAAAATCGGAAAAGAAGAAATGTATCAAGGAGTCATCAGAAGAAATAGCATTCATGAAAATAGTAACGACAATGGGAAACGAGTAGTGGATCTGGCTTCAGGGCATAATATGGTGATTACTACAACAATGTTTCTTCATAAAAGAATGCATTTAGGTACTGAACATGGACTTCACCGGGTGGTGCTACTGGAAACCGAATTGACCATATTGTTATTGATGCAAGACATGCTACTGATATTGCAGATGCAAGATCTTATCGAGGGGCAAACTGTAGCATGGATCATGGACCACTACTTAGTGAGGGCAAACTATAGACAAAAAGTATCAATCAAACCTAGAAGTGGAAGGGCAAAAAGGGCTATAAGATATGAAGTTGAATCTCTAAAGCAGAATGAAATCAAAATTAAATATCAGCGGGTGCTTGAACAAAACCTGATAAAAGCAAAGGAGAGGAGGCAAAGACCAAGAAACATCGAAGGAAGGTGGAAAGATATAAGATCAAGTGTCATCGCAACTGCAGCAGAAGTACTTGGAAGTAGTAGAAAAAGAAGGAAAAATAGTTTGTTTGATTTAGATTGTAGGAATGCATTAGAGGAAAGAAGAAATGCGAGTATAAAGATGATCCAAAACGAATCTGAAAGCAATATTGAAGATTTCAAAGAGAAGAGAAGACTGGCATCTAAATTATGTAAGAAGAGAAAGAGGGAATGGATAAATGCGAAGTTAAAAGAAATAGAGGAAAATAGAAGAATCAATGAAATGAGAAAATTTTATACGGATATTAAGGAAGAAAAGAAAGGGTTTCAACCAAAAATTGGTTTTTGTAGAGGAAAAGAAAGAGAGCTCATTAGTGATAAAAAAATTCTAGATAGATGGGTTGAATATTTTGAAGTACTATTAAACGATGGAGTAGAATCTATAGACGGTCAAACGGAAACAAAAATAGACGAAGCCTTAGAGGTAGATTCTGAGGAAGAAAGTGCAAAATGGCGGATGTGAATATCCAAGACTAAAACAATTGAGATGAGCAATAACAACTTTAAAGAACAACAAAGCTCCTGGAGAGGAGGGAATAGTGTCGGAAATGATAAAAGTAGGTGTGACATTGGAACTGCAGTTAGACAAACTTGTTAGGAAATGCTGGAAAAAGAACAGATACCACAAAGCTGGAATAGAGGAATAATATGCCCAATTCACAAAAAAGGAGACAAATTAGATTATGGTAACTACAGAGGAATAACTTTACTGAATATAGTTTATAATTTTTTTTCAAAAATAATAGCAAAAAAGTTGGCAGTATACATAGAAAAAACAGTGGGAGATTATCAATGAGGTTTTAGAAAAAACAGTTCAACTATAGATCAGATGTCTAAACTAAGATTGATTCGTGAGAAATGCTATGAATACAATATTGAGATACATCAACTTTTTATCGATTACAAAAAAACTTATCATAAATTGGGAATCCCTCGAAAACTTATAAATCTTACAAAAATAACTTTAGGAAAGACTGAGGATATGGTTAAGATAGAGGGATATATTTCAAGAATATTTGCAATAAAGGAGGGAACTCAAACACTTAGAAGTGGTAATGAGAAAAGTATATGAAGAAATGGATGTGATAAAGGTGGAACGGTTTTCAATAAACGTTTACAGTGCTTATCATTTGCCGATGATATTCTTATATTGGGGAAGATCTAAAGAAGTAATTGAAAAGACATTTAAAATAATGGATGACGCAGCTATAGATAAAGACTTAGTAGTTAACGTTGAAAAAACAAAATGTATGAAATTAGCAAGGAAAGAATACCAGTGGTCAAGGAAAGAAATTCTACATATAAAGGATCATAAATTCGAAAAAGTAAATAAATTTCAATATTTAGGAACACAGTTAACGGAAAAGTATAAAATTGATGAGGAAATAATGGCAAGAATGACAGAAAGAAATAAAAGCTATTATACGTTAAGAAGAATTATAACATCTAAAGAAATATGAAGATGCAGTAACACTAGAATATATAAAACTATTATAAGACCGGTAATCATGCATGGTTCTGAAACTTGGACACTGACAAGAAAACACGAGGAACAGTTGAGAAGGTTTGAAAGAAAAATTCTGAGAAGAATATATGGACCAGTACAGGATAGAGGAGAGTGGAGAATTAGAAGTAATAAACAAATCGAAGATTTATGAGAAAATCCTGATATTGTAACAGAAATTAAATAAAAGAGGATATTTCGTTGGATTGGGCATTTAGAACAGATGGATCTTGAGAGAACGGTGTATCAGGTGTATAGAGAAAGATCAGAGAAAAAAGACCAAGAGGGAGACCAAGAACGAGAATTTTGAAAATTGGACTCAAAGACCATAAATATAATATAAGGAAAGAGTCCACTGCAACAATTCTATCACAAATGGCAAAGACTAAAGATTCTGTAGTCAAATGGAATGGTGCAGCCATCATCAAACCTGTATATTACCCATCTTTGGCGGCGATGGCGAAAAAGATCCAAATTTATAAGAGTAAACTACATGAAGGATGTTTGAATGCGAGGGATGCAGAAAGTCTTCCCTCTGCATGGAAGTTTGTGATTAAAAAATTTACTATAAACTCCAACTAATTAAATTAGTAATTTTAATTTTATTAGAAATATTGTTAGTAAACTATCTTGTATTCTTATTTTATATTTTCACACGATTAATTTTTGTTTTAATTTATTTTATTTTATGTTATTCCGTTAGTTATTTAATTTTTTGAATTTATATTTTATTTTGGAATATTTTAGTTCTAATTTCGTTCACAACCTGATGATGGCCTGTGAATCAGGCTGAAAAAATTTGTTTTTATGAAATAAAAATTTACTCGGCAAGGATAAGGTGTTATTTGTATGTTATGTTGTATGTGGTTTGCTGAGTATTTTCTAATAATAAATTAGTTTTACTCAACTAATTTTTTAAAAGCAGTAAATGCACATATGTGCAGTATGTAATAAAGTATTTCAATGTAAATAGCATTACGAAGAGCATAAATACTCTCATTCCGATTATAGGAATTACAAATGCGAACTGTGTCCCAAAAATTATAAAAACAAAAGTTCTTTATCAAAACATATGAAATTGAAACACGAAAATAAAATAAACATTAAAATAAATGACAATAATTAAGTAAATAATTTCTTTTAAATGCGAATATATTTAGAATTTTATTAAATACTTTTTTAATACTTTGCTTACAGGCACGGAGGGAACAAATGAAAGAAACAAAACCAACTACATTTATATATTTATTTACGTATGTATCTCTTCGACACTCATAGTCCCTGAAGGACACTGGCCTCATCTAAGATTTTAAAAGTTTAAAAAACAGAAAATGTACATCTGTGAAATATGTGAAAAAGTATTTACATATAAATCAAGATATAAAGAACACATATTGTCTAACTCTGATGAAAGAAATTATAAATGTTAATTTTGTCCAAAAACTTATAAGCACAACAGGTCTTTATCAACACACATTCAGTGAAAACGTAGAAATGGAAGAAACTTCGAAATAGATCAAATTAATAAAATAGATGAAAATAATGAAGTAAGTATATAGTTGTATATAGCTTGCTACTGTAAATCCTGTATGGTAGTATGAGAATTTCATAAATCTATTGTTTCTTATTAATTAATGTATATGTCCTAACACAATGTACGAAATGCCCTATTAATGTTTCCTGCTGCTCACCATGTTGTAATTTGTAATAAATAACGATTCTAAATAAACTTTAAATTAACAAGTAAGTAATTTGTTTTCAAATGGGTATATATTTAGAATTTTATTTAATACAGTTTTTAATTTTGCTTCTTCTTTTTCTTCTCTCTGGCCCTCATAGTCCTTGAAGGACCTTGGCCTCATCCAAGATTTTCATCCATTTCTCTCAATCTTGAGCCTTTATTCTCCAGCAGCTCAGACCCATCCTTGTCAAATCAGCCTCCACATCTTCATCCCATCTTTTTCGTAATCTCCCTCTCAACCTTCTCATTTCTGGTCTTTCTCTATACACTTGATACCCCTTTCTCTCCGGGTACATTCTTTCCAAATGCCCAATCCATCGAAATCTCCCTCTTTTGTTTTCTGTCACAATATCAAAATTTTCATATAAATCTTCAAGTTACTTCTTATTCTCCACTATCCTCCCTCTTGTACTGGCCCATACATTCTTCTCAAAATCTTCCTCTCAAATCGTCTCAACTGTTCTTCATGTTTATTTGTCAGTGTCCAAGACTCAAAGCCATACATGATTACTGGCATTATAATAGTTTTATATATTCTGATCTTACTGCATCTTGATATTTCTTTATACAAGGTATGTTAGAATTCATTTAAAAGTATAATAGCTTCTATTTCCTGCTGTCACTCTTGCCTTTATTTCTTCATAAATTTCGTTGTTTTCTGTTAGCCGAGTTCCTAAGTATTGAAATTTATTTACCTGTTCAAGTTTATGGTCCTATATATGTAAAATTTGTCCACTTGGCTCCTGACAATCTTTTAAATTAACTTCATATATTTTGTTTTTCATCATAAACTGTTAGGCCTTTATTTATTACTATGTCATCCATTATTTTAAATGCGTTTTCGATTATCTTTTTAAATCTTCGCAATATAACAATATCATTTGCAAATGCTAAGCACTGTACATGTTTCTTATAAATCGTTCCTCCTGCATCTACATCCAATTCCTTGTATACTTTTCTCATTACGACTTCTAATACTAAGTAAAATAAAACTTAGAAAGTGAATCTCCATATTTGAGTCCTTTTTTATTCCAAATGCTCTTGACATATGTCCCTGGATCTTAACTCTGCTTTCTGTCTTCTCTAAAGTTTACTTTGTTATATTTATAAGTTTTTGAGGTATTTCCAATTCATGGAGACAATCCCAAACTTTTTCTCTTTTAATACTATCATAAACTTTTTTAAAGAGAATAAAAAGTTGGTGTATCTCAATATTATACTCGTAGCATTTCTACAGAATTTACCGTATTGTGCAGATTTGATCTACTGTATAGTTGATCTGTTATTACGAAAACCTCACTGATAATCTGCCACTATATTTTTCATGTATACTGACCACCTCATTGCTCTATATCTTTTTTAAATAAATATTGATTTGTAAACTTTAGAAGAAAATGAAAGAAAAACACGAGACACGGCTATACTTTTCAATCTATCACACGAGATTTTTGAATAATTTTAACTTCCACATAACCTTTAATTTCTACCCCATTATGAGATATTACAACACAATGCACACCGGCGCATCTACAGACAAACACATATTCACGAGATTTTTTTGCTGTGTTTTTGACGTTTTTGAATTCAAGACGGCTCAAAACGTGGACATTTGCAGAAAACTTAAATCATTTAATTTGATACGATTTCAATACTTTCCTTTGTTATGTATATATCGGGTGTATCAGAATGACGTTTTAAAACTTTAAGGGATTGTAAAAAATGCAATTTTGAACGTTTTGATATGAGGAGCCTGAGGCCGGAAATTTGAACTGAAGTTTCTACTAAGAGAAAGTCCTTGACTGCCCTTCACGTTGATAGCTAGCCTTCTGTCCATTGACATCATGTTATTGCTGCGGATGGAAGACTGTAAACAAACAAGTACAGTGGTTTAACTGAGCCAGTTTAATTAAGTCTTGTCGTCTTTCAAAGGGGAACATGGCACTTTATGTGACGAAGTTGGTGGTCGTCACATTGAACATTTACTCTAAAGTAGTGCAGCCACTAATTCGATGTACAGTTTGATTGTGCTCTACTGTTTTGTCTATAAAACTTGTCATAAATACTGTATTCTGCTGTTTCATTCAGCATACCAACTGCATAGAACGTGTGAAATGCTGTAGAATCTTTATATTACATTTCCGGCTATAGATTTCTTATATCGTAATGTTTCAAATATCATCCTTTACAATCCCTTAAATTTTCAAAACGTCATCCTGAT